CAAAGTCGGATTGTATTTGGTCGAATTTCAAATATCTTCCAAGTCCTGCTTGTATCTCATCTAGTTCACTGCATTGAAAAGTAACACCAAACATAAAAGACAATACCAAAGCAGGCTTCTTATCCCATCTAGTCATATTACTCAATGAGAAAAGGGAAAAAATCCAGGTTCAAGGTTATATTATCAACTAGCACAAGGCATATCAGAACTGTGCAGTAGAACAGGGTAGTAAACGTAGGACGAAAAATATTTAGATAAAAAGGCAACAGAGAACTCAGAAATTTTCCATTTCACATATCACAAACTAAGAAAATGCAACAGTGAAAGTGATTTTCATACAAAATACCAAAGCTTCACTAAAAGTATTTGGTTTTCACTTTTCATATAATTTCATATAGTACCTGACCAAACTAGAGTTCATCTTTCTGCAGTCTTCAAATTCTTTTTCCACTTCGTTCTCCTACAATGTTATCAAAGTTCACGCGTAAGAAACCAGCAACATTAACATCTACGATTAAGAACAGAAATAGCTTTTTTTTTTCTCAAAGCTTCATTACATGATCTGAAAACGATTCATCTTTTGCTTCAAGAACATCAAGAAGCTGCATGACATATGGAAAAAAATCAGTCTGAAATTATGGACTGAAAATCCATTTGGTGAAGGCATTTTCAAACCTGGTCGCGAAGTCCTGTCATCTCAGAGAGCAATGCCTCTCGCTCCCCATGCTCATAAAATTTCTGATATCTGAAAAGGAAGACATGGTCAGAGCATAGACGATAACCAAAAAGAAGACTCTTCGAAAGCATTTAATAGGTGATTTACCTTAAAAGCTGCTCCCGGAGTTTGGTATTCTCCAAGGTCGAACGTTTCAACTCTGGGTTCTTGTCCATAATTTCACGAAGCAGATTGATCTCTCCTTTCAGAGATTTATTTTCTTCAATGAGACAATCATTTGTCATCAAGGAACCAGACGTTAAGAATTCCGTCTCTCCAACTTTTTCTTGCTGGAGATTAAGCATTCTTTTAATGCATTTAGCATCCTCTTCCATGTCTCTAACCTGCAGTAGAGTATCATATTATAAGATAACCGAAACAGAATCTATTTTGTTCGCATCATGAGAGGAATCTGTCAAGGCTACATCCTATCGAAATATGAAATTGGAGCCATCCTCATAGCAAGACTTACCAAGCTGTCTATACGCTCAATCTCAGCCTCAGACTTCTGAAGGGCAGTTTCAGCAATATTTTCTCTTCTGAGAGCACCAATCAAAACATCTTTCGTATTTTTCACCTGTTATACAGTTATGAAGCCAATTCAGTTTATAGTCCAAATGCATCCACGAATTTGTTGTAAAATACCTTCATTCTCAGTGAGTTGTTCACCTGACAGTGACACTTGTCTTGTTGTGTTTTTGTTGCTACTTCATATGTACCAGAGTATCTGGGTTCTTCAAGAGAAGCTATGCAGTCTGAAAAAGCCCCACATGAGTTATGGTTCTTCATGAGAGAGGACAGTTGGACCTGTTTCAATATACGAAAAGGTTTTAATAGCACTGTCACAAACATATCCAGGAGATAAGGAATATCTGCTGTTTGGTGCAGTATGTCAATACCTTTAACTTTCTTATTTCCTGTTGGAGTGCTGTGACATCCCCAGAGGCATCTTCATTGACTTTAGCCTGGAACATGAAAACGAAGCAAACTTAAATCAACTCAAACTTCATAGACGAAATTATAATAGCTGTAATCACAAATTACGTTATTCTGAATAAGTTTGGCTCGTTGTGCGAACTTCAGTGTGCTGAGGGTTTCGTTGGTAGAGCTGCAATAAATCAATAATAGTCAGAAATACACAGGACGGGACATATTAGGTAAACTCATTAAACAAGAATGGGTATTGGTACAAACCAAAGAGATGGGCTGACGTTGGCTATTATCATTGTTTTAGAATTACCCCCCAAAGAATCCTGAAACCATAGCTAATGTTAGTCTCAATACAGTTGCAAGGAAAAATGAAGGCTGAAGTGCTCTAATAGGTCATACCTGCAGTAGAAAGGTAAGTCGTGAATCTCGATACGGAACATGTCTATGTTTCCCATGTGCCAAATCCACCAGAGACATTATCACTAAGCTAAATTGACAGGTGCATGGGATAGTGTTAGTAATTACTAAGAATTTGTTACAAGAGTAGAGAATATAGGCATAGTAGAAGGTGTAAGACATTGTAGGCATCTTGTCCAAAGATTCTTTATCTTAAAATCCAAGCTCAATAATCATTTTAAGTAGTCAACACCTCAATCTATTAAAGTCGTGCTATCCATTTTTGCGATGAAACGCTTGGCAATGTACAACAGAAAATAGTTCATCACAAAAGCAGAGGGAAGACAAACTGACACGTAAACAGATGTCTGATGAGATTACCCCAGAGTGGATAAGGATTTGTTAATGTTTGCTGCTTCTTTTAGGCGATCCCCTTCCGCACCTGAGCTTTTCTGCCTATATATGTAACAAAGATAATTTCATCAGTCAAAGATGCAAAAGTAACCACAAGCAAATATACTGGCTACCTCTCAGAACCAGCCAAATCCACCAAATTTAGTCTGGCAAATCTTGAATGAGTTAGAGAATCTCTCTCCCAGATGCTCTCGATTGTACACGTGAAAACGCTGTGGGATCTGCTGCTTTCACTATTCATATGGGTTGCTGCAATCTTCCGGTTTGCTGCTCCCTGATCATGAGGAAAACATTTTTAATTTAAATACTTGAACACCTAAGCTCTTAAAGTAATGTTTAGGTAGGGAAGTCTTGCCTGTAATAGAAGCTTTAGAACGTCATTAACAGTTCTCACATTATGTTCTACAAGATTTTCCACATATACCCCTTTTCCTAAGTCTTCTCTGAGCTAAAACATGGAATACAAGGTTACGACCTATCTCAAAACAAAAAGTATCATAATAACTAAATGATAGTCCAGTGATGGAAGAAAAAGAAACTGATTTACTTGCAAATTGGTCGAGGATGGCTCCAAGAGGTCGGTAATCTGCTCGTTGTATATCTCAAGAAAAGAACATTTGCAACTGAATCTAAGTTTTTCATCTCTCCTTTCCTCTTCTTCCTGATTATAGAAGACTTTTCAAGTACTAAAATACATTGGCTTGCAATGATTCGTTGGGAGGAAGTTCGGTACTTACCACTTTGATTCTTAAGAAGAGATACTCAAAAATACGAGCAGTAACTCCACAGTCTTCACCAAGGCTTCCCTCTGCCTCAGATATCTCTCCCATCATAGTATAGGTCTTCCCACTACCAGTCTATATGAAAGGATGTTTAAGTCTCTACATTTTGAACCATGGAAAACTCTAACAACCAGAAACATATCATCATTTACGATCTCACCTGACCGTAGGCAAACACACAACTGTTGTAACCAGACAAGCAATTCTCCACCATAGGCAACCCAGCAACGCGAAATAGTTTCTCCTGAAAAAATCAACAGTATACACAACCATAAACATCACCAGTTTAAAAAAGGAAAGAAGCTAAGTGTAACATTGTGATATGGACTATAAATTTTCTTCAATTAATAGCACCAAAATAAGCCTTTAAAACAAGCTCTTATTTTTACCTGAGATATAGTCTCACTGGCAACATGGTCAAAGGTGAATCTAGTCTCTGGATGGCCTAACCAAACCAATGTCTGTGAACTCTCCTGCTTTAAACACCTCCCATATCCTTGAGTAGCCTTCTCCATTGTACTTAACGGTCTCAGCCTTATCAAAACCTACACCACATATAAAGAAAGAAAGCCTAACTTAGTAAGTTTTCAAAACAACAAAAGAAACTCCTAAACAAAATCCACAAAACCTGCACATTGTGCTCTTTCCAAAACGAATGATCTTCATTCATCTCAAAACACGGAGTCGTCTCAACACAATCAACCATAGAAATCCCCCTCGGGATCCTCGCTCCTCTTCCGCCGAAAGGCTGAGCCACTCTCGCGCCGGTAACACAACCTCCGCCACCGAGAGAAACCCTAGGGAAGTTCCTAGTCGGCGTACTCTGCGCAGAGTTTGGCTCTGACCTAGATCTCACGCTACGGTTTACATTCCTAGGGTTGTTCGAATCGTGCGCGGTTCCACCTCTACCTTCGAATCTCTGAGTTCTCGCGAGTTCCAGTTTCTGAGTTAAATCGAAATGGGGGAGATGAGTCGTCTTATGAAATTGGCTTGGATCTGGTATCGAATTCAGTGGAGCTCGTGAGGGAGAGAACGGAGAGAAGGTCGTGAACTCGTTCTCTTCGGATTCCGGCATCTCGATTCTCGGAGCGTGACGTGGCATGAGGACTACTAGCGTGTACTGTTGTATTTTGAGGTCAGCATGCACGGATCTTCAGATGCTCAGTTTTGCTCTCATAATGGAACAAGAAGGAAAGCTTGAGGATGAAATTAATGCTTTCTGAAGTTAGCCTTCAAAGCTCAGATTTGAATTGGGGGGAGTTGATTTTCAAAATTAGAAAGATTATTTTTTTTTAAGATAAGCCCTTTGGCTTCTTCATTATTACGAATGATGCCCTATTGTTCTTATCTTGCTTTTTCATAAAAATAAAAATAAATTTGCTACCTAATGAGTTTCTTAAATCATGATCAGCGTGCCATAATTACTGTAGTTTCAAAGGGTTTAAATTTAAAATCTTGAGGCCACAAGTGGTGGTTATAATGAAGAACTGAATTCATGGGAGATTAACGACCCCACATGTAAACAAAAGTAGTGGTGGTAGCAATAATATAAACTATAATTAATGTCTTTGATCTCTTTATCCATGCGATTGAGATAAAATAAAGAAATCTACTGAAAAGTGTGATGTTTAAATTTGTTAGCCGTTAATCTGACGTTTGAAAGTTTTGGACTTGTTTGGCGTGTTCCAAACTAGGATTTTGAATTTAATTATTAGAATAAGTTTATACAGATATTTTACTTGGACCACATGGGATGGATCAGTATTCAACAGAGAAATTAATTTACTTATATTTCCAAATTGTGTTTACTTGTTTAAATGGGAAATGACATAGGAATGTTGATCAGAAAAATAATCCAAAAGATTAATAATATTTTAATTTTTTAGAAACTGACACATGGATATATATCATAGCATAGCGCAAATAAAAGACACGAGCATCGCCAAGAACAGCGTAGCATAATTAGTATTCGTAGAGCTGCAGCCTCCTTGATCACTCACACCTCCACCTACGATAAGACAAAACAAAAACGTTTCCAGCTTAGCATATTTCTAAAGGATTAATCATTAATGACAAACAATAAGAGTACTGCTAATGCTGTCCTGGATTAAATTGACAAAAACAAAAAGTTTCCCATCCTATTTGTAAAATCCTGAAACCAAAGGGTTTAGTATAGCAATTACCACAATCTCTTGTCGAAATGTTGTTTGAATTGGGACACTGACAAAGAAAGATCTCCGTCTCGTCGTCGAAACCACACGTGCCGCCTGACTTCCGGCAACGGCCACATCCAATCTCCGGCACCGAGTACGAAAGCTCGATACCGTACGACCAATCCATAGGCGCCACGCCCCTCATTTTACCACCGTCAATCACGGTCGTGTAATGTGAACAATCCAAAATGTTCATACTCATCACTCGCACCGTATCGTAGCTCGTGAAACAACAATACGGCGTCGCATGCACCGTACTATTACCCCCTAAACCAAAAAATAAATTCAAATGGCTGTTACAATGACATTACAACGAAAACTTGATTTATTGCCTGCAAATTGCTGTTTCTATTGCATAATAAAGAAACAAATTCAATCTTTCAAATAACCGATTAATACGGCGTCGAATTCACCGTATTATTGCCTAGAGGAACCGAAAAATATCAAACCAAATGACTGTTACAGTGACATTATTACGAAACTCGATTAATTTTCTGCAAAATTACTGTTTCTATTACAGAAGCAAATGCAATCTTCCGAATTAATCAATTAACTAAGAAAAAACAAGTCAAGAATTTGATTATCATACCGTTTGGAGAAGTAGTGTTGAAGATGCGAAAGGAAGTACACGAGCTATAAAGCTCGTCACAGGAGTGGCCGGCGGCTTGAAAGCAGAGACTCCGGTACCGATTATGCACCGGAGAGTCATTAGAGCAGTTGAATAGCGCGAAAACGGTGTCGTACGAGGGTCTAATAATAGCATTCTGGATATCCGACAGTTTGAAATCGTGGTGGGGCTGGAGGATGGAGCAAGTAGACATGGACGGATCGAAGACGACCATCGTGTTCTTGTCGTAATCGATTGACCGTACCTTGTAGCCTCCGGAAGGAGTGACGAAATACAGATCGGTGGAGGAACAGTTGAGCATTGCTTTGAACTGTGGAGATCCACAACCTTGGTCGATGCCGAAGGGGTAGTTTATTGGGATGCTGCCGCAGGATGTTCGGCAAGATGTTGCTGCTGAGGCTGTTGATGTTAGAGTTGTTAATGTGAAGAGGAAGTGGAAGAAGAAGAAGCAGGGGAGCCTTGACGCCATTTTTGTCTCCTGGTTCCTCCTTTTCTCTATGAGAAGCGTTTTTGTGGAAAGTAAAAGTACAAAGAAAAACACGGTATGGGTGTATTTGTAATTTTTGGTCCTATATAGTATGAAATCTATTAATTTAAATAGCAACTTTAATGTGTTTTTTTTTTGGTCTTGTATGTACTTTATAGTGATTTTTAAATCAAAATTGATATCCTCCCTTTTTTTGTAAAGTTTTAAACTAAGTGGCTAATCCAGTTTTCAAAACTTAGATAAATACTGGAAAAGAAGAAATATATTATCTATACATACTTGATACTCCAACGTTGTTGTGCACAAAATGTCTAACAACAATTAGAGGAAGTAGATGAAAGGGTTTTGCCTTGGTGTTTAGGATATATTTTGATCAACCCAAATTTCTTGGTGTTTTTGTGTATGGCAATTTACTAGTGTGAGAATTTCTTTTTATCAACATCACCTCAAGGCACGAGAGCTGAGGATGGCCTTTCTCATTTGTATTGCCCTGCTCACTGGCCATGGTGGTAAAGCTAACCAAGTGAAGAGGGTTACTACGTAAGAGAAAAAAACAATGGTAATTCTGTAATAAAACTTTCAATCTGATTTCAAGCTGATTCCAATCTAATAACTGTTCAAAAAAAAAACCTCCAATTTTTTCTTCTTTTATTTCAATCTTCTTTTCTGCTTTCAAGCTGATTCCTAGATTATTTCCCGCCACTAGGTGATACCCAAATTACTTCCCGCTTCTCGTGTCTTCCCAATTAAAAAATTTTCAGTGAATAAATTAAAAAAAAGCTACTACGGGTTTCACTTGACAAGAAAAAAGGGGCAAAAAAAAAACGCAATGTTGGTCGCCGACGACGACTCAGTTCAGATTGTTAGGCTTCTCGACCAGACGCTTAATTCAATAGATGGCGTTTCCGTCCACGAGGCCACGGAGGCTCTGGATCGACTCTCTACGCAGCTCCCTCACTTCCCATATCGCCTTCTCTCCATCGCTTCCGGTAACTATTTTTTTTTCTGTCTTCTGTTTCTAACTAATTACTTAACCACTAGTTCTGATCTCAAGAATAGAATTTTCGATTTCCTAGAATTGATGGAACAGTTAGGGTTACGTTGTTTGACTTCACAAAATTCTTATTTGGTAGATCTAATTATAGTTTAATTACTAGATGCAAATAACACTTCTGCTGGTATACCTAACTAATTACATATTAATAAATATACCGATCAGAGTGAAAATTTAAAAATAATATTTATGATTTGAATTTTGCTTTTTGTAGTTTATATTTTTTCTTTACTTTTCTAAGTTTTTACTGATATCTGTTTTTTTCGGATAAAACGACCAACAAATCAAATTTAATGGATAATATGAGAGTTGAATCCTTAAGAACATATTTTGATTCAGCTGATCCAGAAACTCATACATGTTTGAGTTAGTCTCGTTTGAGTCTTTTGGTTGTTGCCAGCTTTTTAAGTATCCACAGCCGTTGAACGTGTGCTAGTGCATTTTTTTCTGATTGGCAGGAGGCGAAAATCCGAGTCAGAGAGTTGCTGCTGCAACGTACCTGAAGAATTTCACCAGAAAGAACACTGGGACTGGAGGGATCATCTCAGAAGTCAGCAAGGAGTTTAAGGATCAGCTCCTTCGAGCTTTGCTTCATGCAGAGCCTGCACTTCTTAAAGTTTTACTTGAACTGGTAAGCGTTTTGTACAAGCTTATCTTCGTCTAGCTGTTGCTAATCTTTATTTTGTTTGTGGCCAGTTCCACATTGTTGTTGTGTCAGAATTTGTGAAGAAAGATGCATGGCCTGAACTTGTACTAGAGCTGCGTTCTGCTATCGAGAAGAGCAGTTTAATAAGCTGTTCAGACTCTAGCTGGAGTACTGTAAATGCTCTGATGGTGTTGCTCACAGTTGTTAAACCTTTTCAGGTATTTGTTGCATTCACATTCGTAGGAAAAGTTATTAATAATATATTAAGGAAGCTGCGAGCCTTAAACTTGCATGTCTATTCTCCGTATCCCTCTCTGCTTTTGCTCATTTCGTTCTCCATCATATTATGGTTGTCCATTATTGTGGTTGTGACTTTTGCTACTTCCGGCTGAAATGTTTTCTAGCAGTATTTATTAATTCAAATAAATCTGAAAAAAATGTTTGTATTTGAAGTGGTAGTGTAGTATCGTAAACTTGGTTCACATAATCCTGGTATTTTAAATAAACGTGGAAAATTTCTGTGTTTGCCTACAGTACTTCTTGCAACCAAAACTTGTTAAGGAACCAGTGCCACAACAGCTGGAGAGTATCACAAATGAAATTCTTGTTCCATTAGTCGCAGTATTCCATCGTCTCGTTGAAAAGGTTTTCTTGTTCTTCATCTGCTACCATCTTTATGTAAGATATATTTTCACTTCGGAGCTCAGTGAGGTACATATTTTGTATTATTCTAAAGCAGGCTTTGACTACAAATGAATGTGGTGAACTGGAGATGGAGAAGAAACTCCACATCATTAGCAAATGCCTATTCTTTTCAGTAAGTCACACGTTCATGTCTGGAAGATTGAAAATTTTCGTGGATTAAAATTTATTGTAGTTCCTTATCATGTTCATATCGTACTATCCACCGTGGTTGTTTTGTTAAGGGGTACTTAATATTGTAGGTGAAGTCCCATATGCCGTCTGCTTTGTCACCTCTGCTCGGTTCCTTATGTCAAGATATGATCAGAATTATGGACTCCTTGAGTTTTGACGAGAGTGTTACTCCTTCTGATGGATACATGTTAAGGTTGAAAACTGGAAAAAGAAGTTTACTCCTCTTTGGCACACTTGTCAGCAGACATAGAAAATACTCTGACAAGTAAGCAAACACCTTAAAATCTTATTAGCAATGCTTAATTCCCACGCCTAATATATCTATATTATGCAGGTTGGTGCCGGAGATAGTAAACTGCTCAATGAAGATTGCCAAACATAGCTCAAACATCAGTGTATGTATTGACGTTTCCAGTTTGTGAAAGCTTTTCAAGTCATTCTTACTAGATAATATTTTTGAGCTCTTCAAAATTCGGTTTTTGGTGCCAGAGAAGTTTCCATCAAAATTTATTACTACAAAAAATTGCTGCTTCTCAGCCAAATGTTACTATTTTCTTAATCTTACGCTCTGAGTTTCTACTATCATGTGCAGAAACTCGGAAGCCTAACTGAGAGAATCATATCACTTGCTTTCGATGTAATTTCACGCGTCATGGAAATTGGCCCTGTAAGTTGTTAGAATGCTTACATCAAATCTGAATAAAGATATCAAATGTCAGTGACGACATATCTTTGGTACCTTAAAACAGGGATGGAGATTACTTTCACCCCATTTTTCTCTCTTGTTAGACTCTGCAATTTTTCCAGCCCTGGCGCTAAATGAAAGGGTACGCTTTCTTCAAGTTATAATATGTGTTGCAAGCATTGCTTACTACCAGGGATCTTAATTCTGAAACTTTACTTCTTTATCTGCGATGTTCTTGCAAATAGGACATATCTGAGTGGGAAGAAGATGCAGATGAATTCATAAGAAAGAACCTTCCTTCTGAACTAGTATGTCAACTTATATCTCTTTCTCTCTACACGCAATACTTTTATGTGTATGAATACTTTTATATGTATGACCACAAGTTAAGAAAAATATCCTTTTGATTTGGCAGGAAGAAATTTCCGGGTGGAGGGAGGACTTGTTTACAGCCAGGAAAAGTGCTATGAACTTGCTTGGTGTTATTGCCATGTCAAAGGTGAAGAACTTATGCTTATTCAATAACCTATTTTCAGCTATTAGTTCATAGCTTCTAACAGAGTTTGATCCCATTGTCATAGGGACCACCAGTATCGACTACAAATAAAGCTTCCTCAGCTGCATGTAAGCGGAAGAAAGGTGAAAAGAACAGAAGAAAAAACCAAAGATGTTCCATGGGTGATCTATTGGTGCTTCCATTTTTGTCAAAGTTTTCTGTGCCTTCAGAGAGCAACATACTGGATGCTAATACTTCAGCAGCGTGAGTTCCTAGACATTTTCATGACTTCTGATTCTAGTTTACCAAATTAGAAAATGCTTTTACACACTCGGAAGTCGGAACAGTGGAAATATGTTCTTCTAGTGGAAATTTAAGATCTCGATTTGCAAGTTAGTCTTCCATAATGCCACGTTTCTCAAGCTGAAGATCAATTTATCGTAAATGTTTGTTCAGTATATTGAAATATATTCATACTCTGTTATCTTCTTTGCTAGACTTTTATCTTCCTCTTTAATACTTTCCTCTTTCATTCCCTTTCACTTTGTGATTTAGCTGACTTTGTTGCTACTTTCGACATGTCAGCTATTTCGGTGTTCTAATGGCGTATGGTGGCTTGCAAGAGGTGAGAAATTGGTTCTCTTTTTTTTCTTTGAAGCTGAGCGTTGACTGATATTGTACATAAGAATTATGATGCCTCACTTTTCACAGTTTATCCAAGAACAAAATCCTGAGCATGTGGCATCTTTAGTCCGTGCCCGCGTGCTACCCATTTATTCTACGTCTGATTGCTCACCTTATTTGGTTGCATCTGCCAATTGGGTACTTGGAGAGCTTGCGTCCTGCCTACCTGAGGTGTTAATTTTACACTTTCTTGATATTTTTTTGTGTGTAAAACCATTTGCTGATAATTGGAACATAATATTTTCTATATGCAATGTTTAAATTTTGCAACATGTCATTTATAGTGATCTCATGATTGATTAGTTGCTTTATGCTCTCAGGATATGAATGCGGATGTTTTCTCTTCCCTGCTGAAGGCATTGGCAATGCCAGATCAGGAAGATATCTCTTGTTACCCAGTGCGTGTTTCGGCTGCTGGGGGAATATGTTCACTACTCGAAGTAAGTCAGCACTTAAATTAACAATTGCGTTAGTAGATTAAGTGACTTGTCATATCTAACTCAAAGAAAATGTTTGTTCAATTCAGAATGAGTACCCACCACCTGAATGGTTGCCGCTTCTTCAGATTATTATTGGTAGGATTGGCA